TGAAATATCTATACTTATAGGAAATTTCTTTGACTGTTCAGAACGATTGTTAATTATAACTTTCATTTTTTAATTTGTGGAAAATGAAAATAAATTTTTTTTTTCAAGTTTGATTTGATTATGAAGATCATCTTCTTTCCTCCCCAAAAAAATAATAATAAAAATTTAAGAATTTTCATACAAAATTGGTAAAGTAAAAAACAATTTTAATTTGGTTCATTATGAGACATATAAAATTCTCAGTCCAGAGCAATACCTGATATAGAAAGATCCGTTCGTTATATAGAGAATAATGGCAACAAATAGTATAAACTTTACATCTTTATTTACTATTTAAGACCAATAAAACATTTTTCAAGTTATGATCAACATACTAGAAATAATTTTTACAACTAGATCACATGAAATTTAGAATTTATAAAGAGTCCGGCAACAAAAAGCTACCCAAGAATTAATTCTTGAAGGAAGAGGAGATGTGATGGCAATAGATTATTAAAAGAGGGAATGGAATAGTTTAGAATGAGTGGTGAAAATTGATTGATTAATTGATTGTATGTTATTGGATAGTTGGGTGGATGAATTGTTGTTGATTGGGGGTATGGTTTGATGGGAAAATGTATTAATTGGGTGGATCATGTAAGAATAATGCAATTTTATAAAGAGAAAAAAAAAGAATTAAGAATAAAGTTGCTTGGAAGATTTGGAGAAGAAACAAAGATTCAATAATAACAAGATATTGCTGATAATAAACAATAATGAAAACATTTTAACTGTTTTTTTATTTACTTCATTTTTAATAATATTAATACTAATGAATTTATAATTATCTATATTTATTTGTTTACTCATTATTATGATGGTTGTGGTGATTATTATTATTCTATTTTCTTCTTTACGCTCCTCCACTATTTTTTTAAAAAAAAAAGAAATTTAATATATAATTTAATTATTCACCAATGTAATTGATTTATTATAAAATGATGATAATACATACACAAGAATATTATTAATTGGAATATGAACTAATTTTACAAAAAATCCAATAAATCCCATTACAAAAAATCCCATTGCAACTGCTTGTGAAATCTTAATGAATTCTTTATACAATAATAGTAATAATAATAATTATTATTAAATAGTTATTCTTATCATTCATATTAAATATTAAATATTAAATTACCTTTACGATCAGGTTTAGTGCATCGATTTACAAACTGAGCGCCTTCTTTGACAAATTGTTTTGGCATCTCAGCAAACTCTTTTAATTGATCTGCCATCTTTATTATTATTATTGTGGTTGTTATTATTGTGTTGTTTTATTTATACTAGGAATAATAAATGTTTATTATAATTAATATATTATAATTAAATAAAATAATATTTGTTGTAAAATTTTGAGTAGGAAAATTTAATGCCAAAAAACATTTATATAATTTTTTAAATTAGTAAAACCACTCAAATCTCGCCACGAGGTTGGAAATCATAATAATGTACACAATGCAATGCAATTTTGGTTTTAAATGTGCAAGTGATCTTGTGTAATATATATATTAATACACATTTATTTTTTTATGTGAGAAGATGATCAAATTAATACATGTTTATTGAATTTTTTAATTGATTGTAGATCATGCAAAAATATAAAACGGACGAGTCCATTGAACCAATTCTAACTTGATACCATTGCCTTTTTTTTGGTTGTCTTCTCTTGAAAACTTTCTTTTTATTTATATATTATTAATTACTAACATAATACTCTTAATTTATTCATTCACCTTTAATTTTATTCTATTCTCCTTTTCCTCCAAGTAAATAATAATATTATAATTGCAATGTCTTCTGTGCCTTCTGTACAACAAATTACTTCTAAAGAGATTCTCATAAAAAAGGCAAATTCTGGTACATCCATACCAGCAAATTATAGTACAACACCTTCAGGAACAATCTATTCTAATACACCTGGAGGTTAGTTAGTGTTTAAAAGTTAAAAACAATGTAAATGTATATAGCATGATTGCATAATAATAATCATATAATTGTTTAATTTAGGAACGAAGATAATTTATGATCGTAATACTTTACTTAATTTAGCAAATTCTCCACTTGCAAAAACTCCAACTAAATTAGCATACATTCCTGGTGTTACTATTCCACAAACAACAGACCAAGATTCCTCTGAAAAAAATGATTCCAACAATAACAAAAAATTGAATAGAGTTGCTGGTCATTTGGCACCCCCAAATTCTAATTATCCTGGTTTTAAAAACACTTTGGTTGATTCCAATCAAAATGGTAACATTAGTAGTGGAGGTGAAAGTGGTGATGAGGAGAATACACCAGGTAAATATTAATAATATATTAGTATTTAATATTTGTAATATTTGATTAATTGATAAATATAATTTTGGCTTTCTACAAATAAAAAAAAAGTAAATATTCAATGTAGCAATTGTAATCACTTAATAAATGCTCCAGCTTACCTTTTACTCTAATAAATTCTTTCAACTCATAATGACAACAAACAAATTGCAAAAGCCTCAACTTTGAACTGCTATTTTAACAAAGGAGACATTCTGAACATCTAATCTTGGACAGGATTTTTAACTTGGAAATATTCGCGCTGTTGCAGACAACATTCAAGTTAAATATTGATAATCTCATTATCCAAAATATTCAAAACTTCTAAGTTCACAAACTCTCTTAAATCAAGATGACCTTTGAGATTTTTCTGAACGAGAGCGTTAATTAATTAATTTTAAATAGTCCTACTTCAAATTATTTTGATCATTTTTGGCGATATGTTTATAATAATTAAAATGAGAAATGCTTGACACAAGCAGACATGGTATAATCGAAGTTTTCAGCACAACCATATTATTTTGCTACAAATTCGTATTTGAACAACACTAAATTGTGATGATGATTCGAAAAAGTTTCGGAGGCTTGGAAAATTTGTAGAGCAAAGCTATCTATCTGCTAATTATTGTGATCATGCGAGAACTAGACATCTGACTAGTTATAATTCATAAAAATATTCTCGAAAATCTTGTGCATAGTTTTAGTACAGCTGATGTGTTGTGGCTGTCGTAACGGTATATTGATTGAATTCGGGATGATATTTTAATTGCATTTGTTTATTAAGACTTGGGGTGTAGTCTCGTCAAGTTATCATGGGGTCTGATTCATTTCGTCGACAATCATTTCGTCGACAGTCATTTCGTCGAAAGTTTCATCGAAAATTCATTTCGAAAATTATTTCGTCACAAAAAAAAAACTTCATTAAACAAATTTATCCTCACACTGCCCACACACTCCGCTTTCCTCGCCTAATTTCTTAAATAACTTCCCACACTCCTCACATCTAACTCGTTCGGTCCCCGGCTTGAGGATGAAATAATTTTCGACGAATGAACTTTCGACGAAACAAACTTTCGACGAAATGGGTGTCGACGAAATGATTGTCGACGAAATAATTTTCGATTAAGTAAACGCGACCGCACTCACATATAGGGCATGGACAATAGAAAGGGGTCAACGTCAAAAATCATGATTTTGAATTGATACCACACATATACATAACTTGTTACAAGGAACAATTTTAGTTTAGAAACTATGCCCACTTAATAAAATTTTGATAAATTTCTGTTAAGTTTTTTAAAAAAGGATAATTACAAAGATCATGATTTTGAGTTAACATTTCTATATGCAATTTTACTTAAAATTTTCATTAATATTAAAGGATTAAAAAAGAAATGCAGACCATTTTTCAATTTTTCAAAATTGTGATTTTGAAATTGACTCCCTTTCTATTGTCCATGACCCATATATTTGAAATACAACATTGTTTGATCAATTCTTAAATGGATGGGTGGGATCTGGAAATGTTGTGTTTCTAAAAGTAGGAGTGAAAGTTCTTGCTTTCTAGGTTAGTAGTATCAATTTAAAATGAAATATTTTTTAGTTTTCAAAAAGAAATTTGCTAATGACAAAAATTTTTTTTTTTTAATATATTTGAAATGAATTATTTGATCTGTTCAATTAACAATAATATGCTTTGATTCTTTACGTTTTCGTTATATATGTTCATTCGATATCTTGTTAAATGATAAAAGGAATTAATGCTTTTCTATTTTTTGGATATTCTTTAAAATCTTTATGATAATTTTTATGTTTTTTAATAGCCCAAAAATACATCTGAATAGATCCAACAATAGTAAAAAGATATGCTGCAAGTGATTTTGTTAAAATACATATACTAATCCATGCTAAAATTTCAAA